TAATATGGTACAAGATAAAAAATAATTCTTGACAACTTTTCAAACGAGTAGTCGTCTCGGGTCAAATGAATCAAGGAAAATTATCTTGATATTGCGGTTACCTTTTCAGAATCTCATCATGAGACCTAAGTATGTCATTCTCTTGGTCATTTCAACTTTTCATATGATATTTTTAAGACAACAAAATAAAGAATATTTTGGTACATTCTAAATATTTTTAATTTAAGACCACGTGATAAAAAATATTCTTTACTTTTCTTGAACTCTGAGTCAATTTAAAGTCAGGATAAATAATTTGAAACGAAGGAGTACCTACTTTCATTTTAAAGAAAATAACATTAATATACTCGGAGAATGATTTTTTTTTTAAAAATAAGATTGTTTCCAACATTTCAAGATAAAATTGTGATATAATCTAAGGAAAATTACATTTCAAAAGCTAGTTATTAAGATTGAAAAGTTCAAAACTATGTAAAACGCATATAACACTTTGAAATATTGATACGAAATTCAAGTCTCATACCTTACAATATCGTATAACAAATGATCACGCCCCACATCTATCGTTCTCGTATGACCCAATACAGCCTACGATCCAAATGGGCTTTTAGAATGGCTTGGGCCTAATTGGCTTGTAGATGCAGAAAAAGCCGAGCCACTTTTTAAATAAAATGTCTTTGTTGACAATTACTTTTAGAATAAAATTATTCGAGAAATTAAAGTCTTATTTATTTACTATTTCTCATTTATATTGTAATTCGTTTATTTTTGAGAAGTGATTATGAGAATTTTTTCCTTTTTATGTTTATAATAAATGGATTTAAGATTTCAATAAAAGTAGCTATACTTTCACAGAGTGTTCAGTGTAGTAACTTTGCAATCTCAATAGGCCTTAAGTTAAGAGCTAAAGTTATAAGCAGCTTGATGTAATCGTTGATCATAATCGCAAAAAAAAAGAGAATTCAGAATTTAATTATTTTGAGTTCAATTTCTACGATCTTTAATATTGAGCCGTTATATTTTAAAAGTTAGATATAAACAAGATAACATCACTCTGCATCCGCCTCTGATTGCGAAGTCAGGTATTTTACCAAAAAATCTGAGTGTTCATTAGTATATACTGGATCCGAGCTCGTAAAGGAACCCCCTTCGATAAAAAATTACACAGTTTATATATAGTTAAAATCATATTTTATGTATATATAGAGTAGATGTTCAATCTCCTTCGACCTTTTCGTGTATTAACTTCTTCATACTTTGAACTCCATAATAAAAATTTCAGATCCACTACTGAATATATATACACATAGAATATGATTTTTTAGAAAAAGATGTTCAACTAATCACCCGTAAAACAGAAGAAGTACTATAGCTAGTCCCCTTGGTAGTTCAACTTGTATAATTATTGGATGGATAGGAAGTAGGGGTGTACATAGCTGGGTTGGTTCGGGTTTTTCAATTATCAAACCAAATCAGTTGTGTCGGATTTTTAAATCAATAAACCAAACCAAACCAATAAAAATTGGGTTTTTTCGGATTTTTTCGGGTTTTTTATTTTTTCGGGTTTTTTCGGTAAAGTATTCATACAAACATATAATTTACTTGTACTTCAAATATTTATTTAGTCCTACCAAAATACAACTACCTAAGGTGTTTCTTAAGAAAATAACACAAAATATGATATGATTAATAACACTAAAATATCCAAACAAAAAAAATAATAATGAAATCGACGTAAAACAAATATTGCAAATCAACAAGTCATAATGAAAATGATCATAATTTAAAAGTACTAAATCATGCTAAAATAAGTTTAATAAGTATTAGTTACATGACTAAATATTAAAGGAAATTAAAATTAGATTATGTATTTGAATTGTCTAAACCAATAGTAAAAACCAAAGAACAAATATTCAATTATTTTTTTTCATTCTTAGTGTTGAATTGATTTTCTTTTTGCATTAGTATTAATTTGATTTTGATTTAACCTTTATAACTATCAACATCTGTGCACTATAATCTTTATTGAGCCATTCAAAATTCTAAGTTTCAAACTTGAAATAATATATTAAAAAGATAAAAATTATGAAAAAGTTTAAGAAATATTTAAAAATTATATCAAAGTAAATATTTTTATGTATAAAATAAAATTTTAAAATTATATATATAATATCGGGTTGGTTTGGTCTCGGGTTAGTTTTTTTTTAGTTAAAACCAAACCAACCCAAATATAGCCGGGTTTTTGTTTCCAATACCAAACCAAGTCAAACCAACCACTAGTCGAGTTTTTTATTCCTATTTGACTCGATTTTCGGTTTGGTTCGGTTTTCGATTCGATTTTGTACACCCCTATGGAGCACTACACATCCAAAATTTAAGGTTTGAAATTTGTGGGATCTGTAAAAAAAAAAAAAGAGGCAAAGAGAAAAGAACAGAATTGTAGAGAAGATGAAAGTTTCGATCGCTTGTTGAGTTGGATGGATACATTTTAAAATTATATATATAATATCGGGTTGGTTTGGTCTCGGGTTAGTTTTTTTTTAGTTAAAACCAAACCAACCCAAATATAGCCGGGTTTTTGTTTCCAATACCAAACCAAGTCAAACCAACCACTAGTCGAGTTTTTTTTTCCTATTTGACTCGATTTTCGGTTTGGTTCGGTTTTCGATTCGATTTTGTACACCCCTAATGGGAAGTGTACAATAATGTCTTCTTATTACGAAACTTTTTTTCAGTTTTATGTGCTTTTAACATATAAAAGATATTCATTTCTTCTATTTAAATTATAATAGCATAAGAGATCTCATTTCCTCTCAACTTCAGTATAATATCACTTCACTACTACAAAAATAAAGATTTTTCTCACTACGAATCGGTGTGAAAGTTGTGCTATATATAGAACATGTTTTTTCCACTCATTTTCAACCAAACCAACTCAGTTTCAAAATGCATGGTGAAAAATAAATTCTCATGACTCAAATAATGAAAAACATCCTATTTTTTTCTGTAAAAAAACATTACTAGTTTTTCTTTACTCACCGATTTAAAAAACCCTAGAATAAAAGGTTTCTCCCTAAGAAAGTATAATGAGTACTAGCTAAGGATCAACAAACAGACTCTTTGTAATTGTTAACTTCTCACCCAACTAGTATTTATAGAAGTTCAATTGAAACTCCTCAATGCTAATAAACTGGTTATGCTAAGTCATAACAATACTAATTAACTTATAATTTTGTCTTAAGGCAAACTTATGTCATGACCAGAAATGACAAATGTCTTAACAAGAAAAGCAAATAAACTTAGCAGATTCCTTTGTACAACATCCTTCAATGCAACTTTTGATAATTTTCATATCTTCCTCTTCTATTTGAGGATTTCTCACAATTTACAAAAATCAATGTCCTATCTTTATATTCAAATGCCATAAACACAAAACACATCTTATCTTACTTTAATCATTAATCACACATATAAATGACAACTTCAATTCACATAAAAACATTATCAAGAGGTGCATGAGTAATGCCTCATGTCCCTCTCCATGTATTGCACCTTTTTGGAATTTCAATATATATGATGGTAGAGGTCAATTAACCATACACCCCCATAACAATACCAAAGTGTTGTAATAGAAGACTACAACAAGTTTCAATATTCAGAGACGAATCTAGAGTAGGTTATGTAAATTCAACTGAATCCTCTATTTTCAATACGAATATGCGAAACAAATTAAATAAGGTATACACATATCTTGAACCTAATGACAATATATAAAAATCATGGATCCGCCTCTACCATCTTCAACACAAAATATTGATAAATTCTACTCATCATCTGATCTTTTGTGCAAGATTCTTCCTTTGCGGCTTGCAGGATTTTAAGAAGCAGAACCTGACATTTACAGTCTATTGTTGACTGACCTATCACTAGAATATTACTTAGAACTTGTCTCTAAGTTCTCATTGTCAGTATAATATGTGATGTATGTACTTTACACCTAACAAAGTTCATCTAAATTAAGGTTAAACATTAATTACAAGCTCTATTTTCAATCATTAATTAAGTATCTCCAACAACAAGTATGATAACACTTTTTTAATCAATAATTTCATAGGGATTGGCATTGCAGGGGATATAAGAACATAATTTACTCATCTCTCTAATTAGGAACACTAATAACATTATATATTTATATATATGCATGCACTCTACTACAAGTAATAAACATTTAAATTAGTGATCTAAATTTTAACACATTAATATTTTTGCATATTGAAGTCTTTTTGGAAAAAGTTCCTTCAATCTTTTCAGTCAAAAGAAGAAAGTCCAAGATCAATAGTCCAGCTTATTAGCACATGAGAATTATGTTGCTTGGACTCTTCAGAAATATTGAAATGTGTATGTCAGATTCTCCAAGAGTACAATATTTTTGGAGAATCCAACACAGGTGCAGCAATATTATTAGAGGGTCCGAGCAACATACACTTGGACTCTCCAAAATTGCGGCCGCACCTGTGTTGGATCCTTCAAACATGTACTACTTACACACCTGATAACATTTTTGAAGAGTCTGAACAACATAACATAAGATAAATCAATCAAAATGACCTAAATATTGTCAAGAAGGGTTAGGGTAGCAAGTCATTTACAATATTGTAATTTAAGCTAAAAACCTACAAATTGGGAAAGCATAAACAGAAACATTAGGTTCCTGTATGCACTGATGATCATAATAAGGTCTTTGATTTACTAGTTCTAATCTTGATAGATCCTCTGAAAAGCCAAATTAAGGAGTACTAATAAAAAGACAGATCATTAATTTTATTAAAATATACTACTAATAATATTCTACTTATATCCAAGGTTACACATGACCTAAGGAGAAACAATTGTAGGCAGAACCATAGCTAATAGGCTGATGATGTTTTTTTTTTAACATCTTTTCTAGGGTTTCTAGCAGATATATCATGTCATGTCATAAAAAGGTTCTTTTTTAGCAATACAAAATTGACAAGAGTAATTAATCAATCTTAGTAGTAGTAGTACTCAAGAATGTTGAAGATATCTGAAGGCAACTGATTGGAGGTCATCAACAACATCATGATCTTGAAATGTCCATTGCTTGTTGTTGTCAAATGAAGAATCTACTGAGCAAGATCCACCTTCTTCAAAACTTGACATATTTTCCTTAATTGGAACCACAAAATTAATATTCTCATAATTATTCCCCATATGGTAATTATGATCATTTGAGGTCATGTTGTTGTAATTGTTTTCATCATAATATGGGATTGATGATCCAATATTATTGTTACTTGTCAAACTAGAAATAGAATGATCAAATTGAGGCATAGTGTTTGGATTTTCAGATTGATGATGAAACCAACTTTGAACATCTTGAAATTTGTCATAATTAGGGTTTGCAATATAATTTGAACCATGTTGTATGTTTTGAGCTGCAGCTTGTTCCTTGAGTGAAGCAAGTTGTGCTTGTAAATTAACAACCTATAACATCAACAAAAAAAAATCTTATAAATTCGTAGATCAAGTAATTAACAATCCAATCTTTTAAGATTTGTGATTATCAAATTATAATTAACTATCATGTACCTGTTGCTGAAGAGCGAATATATGTGAAACACAACCATAAATTGGATCTTGAAGTCTAGCTTGAGCTTCATAAGCTATGGTGACCGCGGCTTCTCCTCGATCACTCACAGGTATATGAGCTAAGAGTTTAGACACATTGCTAGCCCCAAACACCTTATGAATAGCTGAAAAATGTGTAGCACCTTGTTCATAGCAAAAATAAGGAGCAAATACACATCCTTTAATACATTTTCTTCTCAAAAATTTGCAAGCACCACAAGGGGAACCAGTGCCTGTCATCTTAATAATAATAATAGTAATAATATTGTGTTGATATTTAATTTGATGGTGATGATATTTAATCAAGCTAATAATTTTGTGAGTTCTTAGCTAATTGCTAGCATTATCACCATGTTTATAAACACTAGAGGAAGAGAGAGGTGGATCATAAAATATTGAATATTAAATTAACTTAATTGATAGTGGTTCCCTTATTGGGCTACATTTTATTTATTTTTTTGTAATATAAAATTCTCTTTACCCCCTTACATTCTCAAATTAACATCCTTAAAGGACAAAAGAGGTAGCAAAAACCAAACCCATACATCTCTGCTTGCTGCTTCATGACTAGCTTATTATTCACCTCATTTTATCAATGTCTTTCAATTAATAACAACATTTATATTCGGGGACGTTTGATCATGAAATTTTTTCATTTTTTAAAAAATTGAATTTCTAAAAACACATTCAGTCATAAAATTTCGGGATTCAACACTTGAAGTTGAATTCCAGAATTTTCAAAATAACAAAAATGTATTTTCACTCCAAATTACTTATAAAATGTCAAAAATTGCTCCAATTTATATTCATGACCAAACAAACTCCAAGTTTCAAATATTATTTTTCATTTTGAAAGAAAAAACTATTTTTTTTCCAGATTTTACAATGAAACATAGCCAAATTACGTCCACTTATTTTCTTGATAAATCTTATCCGGTTGCTATAGCTATAAGATTTGAAGGCCTTCATCTGTGTCATGGTTAAAAATTAAAATCTTGAAAGTTTTTTCGATTTTGAGGGACTTAATTTACATATACGGATAGTGTAAAGAGTTTTTACACGATCAGGCAATTAATTTTACTTGTTATTGCAGATGAGTTTAACTAATATCTACCGTGAATATAAACTTTATTTTACATAAGCAGGTAAGTTTAATAGGTAATAAAACTAAAATGAGACAGAAGAAGTATTTTTCAGGTAATCTAACAGTATAACTATTCTTTTATGAGTATGATCAGAAGTTAAACTCTACTCTAGTACTTTTTTTGTCCTAATTTATGTATTACACTTTTCTTTTTAGTATGTTCTTAATTAGAAATAATTAATTTGATTTTTTTTTTATCCCTAATGAAATGATTTACAGTCACACAAATATATAAAAAATTATTTCTTTCTTAAACTTTGTGAATAATCAAACGATGTCACGTAAATTTTGAGTTATGAAGTATATTAAATGAATGTTTGTATAAATGATCTAATCAAACGTGTGAAAGTGGCTTATACTGTTACAGGATAAGACAAAGCCTCTTCTCTCAGTAATTCGAGGAAGGTAACCTACTAACTACAATAATCAATTATTAGTTCTTAAAAATAGGATTAAAAAAATTATTAGACACTTGGAGTATGGTACAGTTTGAGTAAATTATTATATTTTTTTTCTCATGAAAACGGTTTGTTTTGCAACACAATATAGAGCTGTTTCAAACCTGGATGTTTGCTAAACGAAATTCTCTTTTTTATTTTGTGTCACTGCATCAGAAATGATCTTTAACGGTAATTAATTAACTGTAATAGTTTAATTGCCGTTAAATATGTATTTTTAGAGGCAATTAACACTCTTTGTATATGTCCCTAAAGCTTTTAGCGATACTAATTCTAATGACAGTTACTAATGCCGGTAAAGACTTTAGCACTCTTTATTAATGTGTCTATTTATTGCCGCTAAAAGTTGTTTTTGTTGTAGTGTGTTTTTTAAATGTTTAATTATTCGAATGAATCAACATAATTATTTTCTTATTTTTACTAATGATTCTAATTATAAAAAAATCTATTTTTGAGATTTAACAAGAGTTTGTATTGAAATGAGAGATAGGAAACAAATATTAAAGATCAAAGACCAAAGAAAACTAAAATGCTCAACAGCTCAAAGACTCCTATATGGCAATTAGAAGCAAACGAGTATTGACTTGGCATAATTATTTTTTTTTAAATGACTTTTTATTTTGTGTGTCTGTGAAGGTGTGGTGTGTGCAGGGGTTAGAGGCAGAGCAGGATTAAGAATTTGGAAGTTATTTTTTTTATTTTAAAAAAAAAAAAGTGATGGGGTTCAAACCCACAATTCTAGTGTGAAAATTATTTTCACGGTGATTTTTTTACCATTGAATCGTCAATCAATTTTGTTAGGGGTTCACAAGGTAATATACATATATATTTATTTATTTTCTAGTACGAATACATAATCTACGGAAAAATTACTGGGTTCGTCCGAATCCACGAACCCCCACCTAGCTCTGCCTCTGTGTGGGGTGGGGTTGGGGCAGTTGCATAGCAATATTGATCATGTTCATCCTTTGTCGAAAAATTATATTATACATATAAAAAAAAATATTTTTACAGGTTAAAAATATTGTTTTAAAAATATATATTAAAGTTTTGAACATTTCTAGCTTCGTCACGGAGTTAATTAAGGAAATGAAAAAAGAGATAGAGCATTATTCATTTTGATTGTTTATACAAGTTATTAGAATATGCTTGGGAACAAGAGAAAGTAGCTTTTAAATGGAGTAGTACTTAATTAGTGATCAGTGTAGCTACCAATATTTGTAATTTTGTATTATAGTTTTGTGTTTTTCCTAAAAGGTTGATTCTTTGACAGATGTGAAAGTCACCTATATATATATCTGGACAAACTTTCTCCCATCTTGTTTAATTAATTGTACTACTTGAACAAAGATTTTTAATAGGCAAAACATGGAAATAAATAAACTACATAAGTAATATTTCAATATTTTCAAATAACAATATAATGTAGTTTAATGTTCGTAACTATGAGTTGATTATAATTAACTCAGAAGATCACTCAACTACGTGTTAAAAGTTTAGAGAAGTAAGCATGAATTTCATAATTATCCCCGTATGAATTAAATCATGTTTATAATGGGAGAAAAGACATCATAGGATATTTTACTAATAAGCTGTAAATCCTATCACTAATTGTGATATATGACATCTATGTGCGGTGTATTTTCTTAGCAACAAATTAAATTATTGCTTACACGCTAATTTATGTATTGAAATCTCTCTCTCATAGAATAATTAAGATTAAAAAAGGCCTAACCTATTCTACTCCATGCTAACATTTTTGCAAGGATATGTTCGTTTGGCACATTTTTATTTAAAAGTATAATTTAACACGCTTTCCAAAAAATTATTTTGGGAAGACAACTAATTATAAAAGAAAAATATTATCCAAATAGTAGCTTTTAGGAGACATCTTTTTTCTCCAGAGAGCTTTTTTTCAAAAATATCTTTAAATTAAGAAAACTTTTTTAGTGGTTTTTTAGAAGAAAAAAAGAATTAACTTTACATTGCCTACTTACAATTTGTGCGTGTATATATATATATATATATATTATATATATATAGAAGAAGTTATTACGTTAATTTAAGGCCTAACTCATTGGTGGCCCCTTAAAGTTGGCACGAAATTTCATTTAGATATCATAACTGGACGATGTTCATTTTAGACACCTTATGTTGGCTCCTATTGTGTCATTTTGACATTTTTTGCTTACATGACTTAGTAAGTGTAATACATTCGTTGATCGCGCGTGAAAACCTATTTAGTCAACTTTTTAATTTTTTCTTCTTCTTCATTTTAAGCCACCATTTTTTAAAACTTAAACATCCAACAATGGTTAATAAATATAGTTACAATAAGATGATGAAAAATATTTTAGAAATTTAAGAATAGATCCATTTCGAGATTTAAGTATTAAATTATTCATGGACCGTGTGTAAGTGCGTGTGTGCCCAGATATTATGCCAAAAAAGGGCTTTGGACAAAAAAAAAATCAGGGGAGGAATGTTATTCACATTGGTGACTTTTTATTTTTATTCAAAACTCATTATTTAAGAATTGCTTTTGACACAAATGACAAGTGTTATCATTTAATCTGTCACTTTACACGTCATTCGCGAGTGTAACACACACCTCATATAATTTTGTTGATTGAAAAAAAAGTATCAAAATGATACAATTGAACTGTATATGAGGTGTCTAGAATGAACATTGTCCAGTTGAGGTGTTCAAGTGAAACTTCGTGTCAACTTTAAGGGGTCACCGATGGGTTAGGCCTTAATTTAATCATAAAGCAAGTGATTAAACAAGGAATTTTACTGATATTTCAATTTGATCAAGACAAGAACTAGCTAGATTTTGTAGACTACATAATTAATCCCTTGAAAAAAAAATGTGTAAAGGGAAATAATAACTAGCTAAATTTTAGTGTCTGTCTTTTACCCTTTTTCCTGGTACAAGGCAGATGACACTAAAGTTATACAGTATTAAAAAAAAAAAAAGGGAGTACTATATGCTAATTATATAATATGGAGAAAGAAAAAAAATATATATGACTTATGAGGACAGTGGAATAGAACTATCCAACGTGGGAAAGCACGTATAAACTGAGTTAAAATTATAATTAAAATTTCTTACATCATTATCAAGTTACTTTTATTTATTATTTAGCTTAAAATTATAAATTTCATTTTTTTAATAAGTTGTATTTGTAGGTATTATCTAAATAATCTGATAGTGTAAGAACTTATTTATACTAATGTTGTACAATTGTACACAACTTAAATTAAGGACGGAGTTAAGGTGTATGGTTGCGGATTAGGCCAAATATTTTATTCAGATTATGTATTAGGGTGGTTCAAAATTGAATCGAAATCAATAATTTGGTTATTGAGTCAATGGTTCGGATTAATGGGTTAACAGTTCGGGTCTCGATTTACTATAAACTTCTTATCGGCTTATCGGTTCGGGTCTCGGTTTGGCCATAGTTCTAATCGGGTGCCCCGATAACCAATAAGAAGTTTAATTAATTACATTTATATCACTTAAGGCCATAGGCACTTTTAGCCTTTAGGGTTTACACTTCAATCTTCAGACTTTTTACTGTGACTTTATAGTTGACACTCAAATTTTACAATAATATTTCAAAGCTACGACATCACTCATTACTCATTGATTCATTGTC